TCAGTCACTGATCCTACCCCTATAAGTTCAAAAATTTATCGATTTCCCGAGGTTCATAAAGCGGAGGTTGACAAACAAATAAAGAAAATGCTGAAACAAGACATTATACGACCCTCTGTTTCTCCTTATTGTAGCCCTCTTTGGGTTGTACCAAAAAAAAATGGACGCCTCACGTGAAAAAAAAATGGAGAATTGTTATCGACTACAGAAAATTAAATAATGTCACAGTAGAAGATTCTTACCCAATCCCAAATTGAATACATATTAGATCAACTAGGACATTCTACCTACTTCACTACTCTAGATTTAGCAAATGGGTTTCATCAAATAAAAATGTAAGATGAAGACATACCCAAAACTGCTTTTTCAACTTCTTTTGGTCATTATGAATTCACTAGAATGCTGTTTGGGTTACGAAATTCTCCGAGCACTTTCCAACGTCTTATGAATACTGTTTTAACTGGACTACAAGGACTCCAATGTTTTGTTTACCTCGACGACATAGTCGTTTATGCCAGCACAATAGATCAACATACAAAAAAATTAAAATCAATTTTCGATCGTTTACGATCCAACAATTTACTTTTGCAACCTGATAAATGTGAATTTATGAGGAAAGAAGTAATTTATTTAGGTCATGCCATAAGCGACAAAGGAGTATCCCCTAATCCAGATAAAATTATAGCTATTTCAACCTATCCAACTCCACAAAATCCAAAACAAATAAAACAATTTTTAGGTTTAGTAGGATACTACCGCAGGTTCATTAAAGACTTCTCAGCTCTTGCTAAACCCCTCACATTATTATTGAAAAAGGATGTACCTTTCAATTGGAACCAAAAAACTCAAGAATCTTTCGAAACATTCAAAACCATTCTTACTACTCAACCAATTTTGAATTACTCTGATTTCAGAGAAAAGTTTCTCTTGACTACCGATGCTTCGGATTACGCAATAGGAGCCGTTCTTTCACAAGGTGAAGTTGGAAAAGACTTGCCGATTGCTTACGCTTCCCGAACTCTAAATAAAGCTGAAATTAATTATAGCACCACTGAAAAAGAAGCACTCAGTATAATTTGGGCAACCAATCATTTTAGACCATATCTTTATGGCAGAAAGTTTACCATCCTAACTGATCATCGTCCATTAACTTGGTTGTTTAATTGCAAAAATCCTTGCAGTAGGTTACTACGTTGGCGCCTTAAACTAGAAGAGTACGAATACGATATTCAGTACAAACCTGGTAAAGTAAATTCAAATGCTGACGCATTGTCACGCAACACCATTCTAGCAATAAACGATAAACCAAATCAAACCTATGATGATTTCGTCAAATTCCACTATACTAATTCCGAAATAATAGATATCGAAATACTCAAAGATGATATTTTTTCAAAATTTCCCAATGTATTGTTTTTTTCAAAAGATTTAGACGAAAATAATATTTGCTATGAAAACCTCAGAGCAACCCATGATATTTGCTCCATTCCAGAGGAAATAAATCTTTATGACGTAATCACTTTAAAAAATAAAAACAACCAAATAACATTCATATGCATTTCGAAACTTAATCATTTCGATAAACTTGAGTATAAAGATTTATTTTATTCTCTCAAAAATCTCAAAGAAACACTAGTAAAATCTAAAATATCCAAAATTTATATCAAAAACCCTGCTGAAACAAATCACAATTTAAAACAGGAAATGATCAATGAACTTATAAGATTTATATTTAACAAAATCACAGTCGTATTAATTAATAAACCCAAAATCCAGCCTAAAACAAAAGATGAAATTAAAAAGATACTTGACGAAAATCACAATTCTTCAATTTCTGGACATTCAGGTTATATTCATACCTATAAACGAATCAAAGAAAATTTTAAATGGCCAAACATGAAAAATGACATAAAAAAATTCATTAAAACCTGCCAGTCTTGCCAAATAAACAAAACAAATTGCATACCTAACAAAGCACCCATGGAAATCACGACCACTAGTGAACATCCATTCCAACGACTTGCAATAGACACTGACATTGACGGAAAATGGACATAGATTTATTTTGACCATGTAAGACGACCTCACAAAATTCTCGTATGCCAAACCAATTCCTTACCACGAACCCCGAACTATTGCCGACAAACTCCTAGAATTTATAACCATATTTGGAATTCCAGAAAGCATTCTTTCAGACCAAGGCTCTGATTTCTGTTCCGACATCATGAAGGAATTAAATCGATTATTTAAAATAAAACATATATTTTCTAGCCCTTACCATCCTCAAACCAACGGCGCTTTAGAAAGAAGCCATCACACTCTAAAAGAATATCTTAAGCACTACATAAGTGAAACGCAAACTAATTGGGACGAATACGTGCAATTAGCAATGTTCACTTATAACACACACATTCACAAATCGACAAATTTCACACCTTTTGAACTAGTTTTTGCTCACAAAGCCAACATTCCAAAATCCCTCACGGACTCGCCCGAGTTTCGATATTCCTATGATGACTACTACACCCATTTAAAATTTAAATTAAACAAATCCTATGCAATTGGCAAAGAAAATCTCATTAAATCAAAAGAAAAATCTAAACAGTATTATGACCGAAAAATTAGGCCAATAAATTTTGAAGTTAAGGGGATTGAATGCGCCTCAATGCCAAAATATTTTTTCCTGCGCGAAGCACCTAACGCAGTCTATCATTATATTCTTCCGCTCCGATTAATACTCCTCAGTGGGAATGAGATGAATGAAACAAGGAATGCATTGCATTCTTAATTTCAACCTAATTTTTTAACAATTGAAGTTATATCAACTTTCTTTTTTGCATTCGATTTATAATATAGGCACGAATGGCGCTATCTTTTCAGAAATCCGATAATAGAAACAAGTTCTCGAAAAATTACAAAAATGTAATTTAAACTGAAAAAAAAAAAACAAGAAAGTTAATCAATTTATGGTGTTTTTTTTAGTTAGCGCCATTCTTATGTGTGTTAACAATACAATGAAGCAAACCAGAATTCCAAAAATTATCTAGTTTTTTTTGTAGAAATTTAATTGATTCTTCTTGTCATTTTGTCTATCTCTGTTATGTCTGCAGCAAACCCCATGGCTCTTTCCTCCGCCTGTTTTTCTATACATTTTAAATCGCCGTGATGAAAGATCCAGTGCCGACCGGCTCAACAGTAGCCCAATGCAATGATCGCGATAAACCTCGCGTCTTTATTAGTATTAACTTATTGGGTAGTTGTATAGTTTGACGTGCGTTACAATATATTTCAAACGGCGCATTCAATACCCTTAGGCCCAGTTGTACAATGGGAGTTCAGGGTAGGATAAACTACAAACAGTGGTTTAGTGAACAAAGTGTGTTGTACTATACGGGTTTAGAGATAAACTTGCTGGAAAAGCTTAGTTCAAGTTAAGTCACGGATTTTGGTGGTTTAAGGCAACAAAGCTAAGTTTAAGGAAATCATAACCTTACATTTGTTTTTGTGTAATATTTTGATTACATGTTGATTTTCTATTTTCAATTCCAATTAAAATAAAGTGAAAATAGGTAGAGGCAAATAAAAAAAACAAAAATGGATTATATGGGCTACTTGAGTGATGATGAAGATTTCCTGGAACTAGTAGACATAGTTCAAGACCGGAGATTGAGACGGGTTCAACATTTTCAGGAGAGGGAAAACCACTTTGAAAAGTGGTCAGATGAGGAGTTTCTGAGAAGATTCCGTTTATCAAAAAATGGCGTAAGATTCGTTTTTAATCGAATACAACACCTAATTACTTCCCCTACAGAGAGGTATGTACATGTAGACATAATTCATATAGTACCTTACCCTGAAGATATTTTGTTTTTTTCAGAAACCATGCTGTATCTGCTAAAGACATGCTTTTGATGACGTTGAGGTTTTATGCAACAGGAAGCTTCTTGCAAGTGGTAGGAGATTTTATTGGGGTACACAAAAGTACAGCTTCCCGAGTTGTACACAGAGTTACTGTAGCCATCGCCAGCCTCTATAACGAATTTATTCGGATGCCTTCTACAGAAGAAGAAATGAGGCAATCGTCACAAGAGTTTTATAATGTAAGTCGTTTTCCAACATGCATTGGAGCTTTGGATTGCACCCATGTTCGTATATTATCCCCTGGTGGCAATGAGGCAGAATTATATAGAAATCGAAAGGGATTTTTATCATTCAATGTCCAGGCGGTGTGCAATGCTAAATGCATGTTTCAAGATGTAGTGTGTCGATGGCCAGGTTCTACACATGATGCCCTAATATTTGCAAATTCAATGCTACGAATAAAATTTGAAAGAGGGGATTTTGGTAATTATCTCATGGTTGGCGACAGTGGCTATGGTATAAAACATTATTTGATCACTCCACTTGATAATCCTGTGACTAATGCTGAAACTTTATTTAACGAGTCTCAAATTAGAACTAGAAATCCGATTGAAAGAACATTTGGCATATGGAAAAGGCGTTTTGCAATACTAGCCTTTGGAATTAGATCAAAATTGTTCAAGGTTGAAGGAATAGTAATTGCAACTGCTGTGTTACATAATATTGCGATTTTATTGAAAGAACCAGGGCCGGTATTCTCGTTCTCGAAAACGCTCACCGCTTTTCAGTCGCTCGGCACTTTCAATGTAAATTTGCATTTAAAGTGCCGAGCGACCAAAAAGCGGTGAGCGTTTTTGAGAACCAGAATACCGGCCCTGAACCACCTCAAAATCAAGAGGAGGAAGAAGTACTGAATTTTGTCAACAATGTCGATGTGCATGCACCACAACCATATAGACAAAACATAAATAATTTAAGAAGACGACAATTAATTGATGAATATTTTGCTCGATTATAGGATATGTGTGAAGCTTATCTTGGTTATATAAAATAAAAGATTTTTTTCAAAAGCAAATAGTTTTATTGAAGTAACTAATATGCAAAAAACAATGTAATATTTTAGTAGTCCAAACCCCTTTTCACTTTCTCATTTCTTTGAGCAGTTTAAGCTTCTGTAGCTCAAATATCTCTTTTTTCTGTTTTTGCTCTTCTTTTAAGCCTTCAATAATGATTTTCTTTTCCTCCTCACTTCTAAGTATTCTTATTTGGGATTCCCTTTTCATTATATTCAATTCTTCATCATGAAGGGCTTTCATGAGTGTAATTTTGGTCTCATGTTCTTCCTCCAAATATCTTCGTTTTTCCTCTTCTAGAGAAGACTTCACGGTTGCCCACTGACTTATTTTTTTCGAAATCACGTTGTCCACGTTTTGGCCGGTTTTTGCTAAAACAATTCAATAAGTTTAAACCGAAGCTTCAAAATTTTAAATCAATACATACAAAGGGGCTAAATACTCACTTGATGGTTTGAGAGCTTTTGACTTTGGTGTTTTCAATAAAGTAGGATTATATTTTGACCAGGTTTCTACTGGAGCCTCATGTATATCTACAACTTAAAACATTTTTTTTTTAATTAGAAAAGTAGTAGGGGAATATTTAAATTCTACAGGCTTATTTATCAAAAACCAATCACAATCAATCAATAATCATGTTTTTAGGTTTCGTTTACCTGTTTCCTGTAAATTTTCTTCAGTGATAATTTCTTCATGTAGACCATTGTCTTCAACATATTCTATTTCATTATTTCGATCTGAAATGCAAAAAAAAATATGCAACACAGATAATAGCAATAGCTTCATTACATAAAGCATTTTTTTAAGGATGCAATTAGACCGGACAAACAATGCATACATTTTTTCTTCTATAATTGATAAGGTATCACTAGAAACACTATTAAGTTTACTGGGGTTGTTCAAAGTTGCTTTTTTAACAAGTTTGTAGAAATAAGTAAATAATTTTCTATTATTTTTATTGTTTTTGAAACAGGAACGTATGGCTGGTTTCTTGCAAATCAGCAGTAGTTCACAATAGTGTGCCAAATAAAAAATGCTTTTTTTTTGTATAGGTATTATAGGTCCTTACCAGTGTCATTTTGCGTTGCTTCCTCGGTTTCCTCAGTGTAAATAAGTATGGCTTCTATGTCTACTAGAAACAATAAATTAAAATAAATACTTCAGATATTATTAGGTACAATAGAACTAGTTTCAAGTGTTAGGCTCAGTCTTAATTAAAATAGGGTGCAGTATACTTATCATATAAATCCTTACCTTCATTGTTATGTGTCTCCAAATTCTGGGTTGGTGAAGGAGGAGTGTGTACATTGCTTGAGTTTGGCTTTGTTTTTATTTTTTTTGGTTCTGAAAAAATATAAGCTGCATTTGAGGGGGTACTCTTGGGTTTTCTACTGGGAATTAAAACAAGGAATTTTTGCCGCTCATGATTTATGAAAATAATCAATTTACCCGCATCGCCTCCAAATTGGGTGGCCAAACCATGCACCCTTGTTTCCCCCAAAATTTCTATTACAGTTTGGTCGGCTTCCGTCAGAGTAAACTCTTGAAAAGGGCCACCACCAGTTCCAAATCTGTAGCATTTCTCTTCACTTATTTTCTTTTTTGTTTGTTTCTTCATATTCTCATATTTCTTTTTCAAAATTTGGGCACTTCTGTATGAGGCACCACTTTCAGCGTTGAATTCTTTTTCCAGCATGACCCAACACTTATTTTTATCTGCATTCGTGACGGCATCGGTTTTTTTGTTTTCCAAAATGCCTTTATGTTTTTTTACAAAATAGGCTAGGAGGGTTTCTTCCATTGGGGTAAAGTTAACTGACCTATTTTTAACTTTGCCTTTAGAGTCCATTTTTTGGTTTCACAAGACGAAATTATAAATTTTCAAATTCGCAACCACAACCTTCACTAAACTAAAATCCAACAAAACTGGAAACAACGGCCCGCCAAACAACAAAAATCACATAAACATAACCTCAAAATAAAGAATATTTTCTTCTTTTTTTCTTTTTTCGCTGAGGGCGTTGCAACAAGATATATTTAGGCACCGGAATACAGCGATGCCAAATGGTTCAAAAAAAAAAACCAAGCTTAGTAAAACTCTAGCTCGGAAATATTTGTACAACAGTATCGGAAATTAAGCGGAAGTTTAGGAATTTGTTTGGTTTAGCTAAGTTGGGCTTTAAACTTTTATTGTACAACCGGGCCTTAATGATTTAGTCTACATTCAAAATAAAATTATTAAACCCGGTCTAAGCAAAAAACTTAGGCCCGGTTGTACAACGGTCGTTCAACCGAAGTTCACACTGACTAGTGGTTCAAAGAAAAAAACTCGTTGTACATGGTCGGTTCAGACTGTGAACTGTGATTGATCTTGAACGTCCGAATTTGGGCGTTCAAGGGCAGTTCAACTCTTTTTTGGGTTTTTCTAACCTCACTCTCCTATGTTTTGGTTTTGTTTTGTTTGATTTTTGAGGGATCACTTTGGCTTTTGATTTTTGAATTTATATTTTTTTTGAAGTTGATATTTGGACTATTCTGGAATTTATATTTAACTTTAACTAAAAATGGATCTTGAGTGGGAAGATATTACTGACGACGAAGACTTTTTAGAATTAGTTAATATTGTTGCACACCCCCGAGCCCCCCAGATATTCAGAAATAGACCAGACCATATGAACATTTGGAATGACAAAGAGTTTAAGGAAAGATTCAGGCTGGAAAAGCAAGTTGTGAGGTTTATCATAGACGAAATTTCCGATCAAATTTCATCTGTTACTGACAAGTAAGTAAGATTTATATTCTTTACCTATTTGTGTTAGATTAGATTATTTAATGTTTTATGTATTTTTTTTAGAAACCATGCAGTAACACCTACTGAAATGGTATGCATTACTTTACGATTTCTAGCCACTGGAAGTTTTCTGCAAGTTGTTGGCGATTTCGGAGGAATTGACAAATCAACAGCAAGCCGAAAAGTATACATGGTTTTAGAGGCAATTGCTAGATTGGGACGAGAATTTATGAAAATGCCAAGAACCGAAGCGGAAATGAATATTGTCAGGCAAGGATTTTTTAGTATTGCGAGGTTACCAAGATGCATTGGAGCTTTAGACTGTACTCACATCAAAATTCAATCTCCTGGAGGGGCAGATGCTGAAAATTACCGAAACCGTAAAGGATTTTTTTCGTATAATGTTCAGGCTATTTGCAGCTCTGACCTCAAATTTCAGGATATTGTGTGTCGATGGCCAGGCTCTGCTCACGATTCCAACATATTTAGAAACAGCAGAGTCAGAAATGATTTCGAAAATAGAGTGTATGGTGACAACTTCCTTGTAGCTGATAGTGGATATGCTATAAAACCACATACCATAACACCTCTATTAAATCCTCAAACCCCTGCTGAACAATTATTTAATGAGGCGCAAATAAGGACCAGAAATCCCATAGAGAGGTCCTTTGGAATTTGGAAGAGAAGATTTCCTATACTTTCCTTAGGAATACGTTTAAAACAGGAAAAAGTGGAGGCTGTTGTTATTGCTTCAGCTGTCCTCCACAATATTGCACTATCTATGGGAGATGTGGAACCTCCAGCAGTCAATCAAGAAATTGCAGCTGCGATAGAACTGACCAACAATGTCAATAATGACATTTTGATTGGACATGCACAGGGAGGTCTCAACAATACTGTTCGGTATACGTTAATTAATACTTACTTTCAAAATCTACTGTAAATAGATAAATAATCTTTGACCATAAAAAAAACTGCACTGTGTATTATTTCATAGTAAAACCTAATAAAACTAAACACAAAAACTAGATAAACTTACTTTAATCAATAAACAAACAACTCTGAAATAAATCTAAACATAGATAGGAACTAAGACAGGAACTCAAGAAATTAATCACAAAAAAAAAACCTACACACTAGAAAACCCTGAAATAAATGAAAAAACTCAAAAATAACAATATAAATAAATCTTCACTAAACAGAAATAATAGTACCTTACTGGTACATTGAAAAAAATTGATAAACTAATTATTGTACATGTATAGTCTGGCTAGCCAAACGGCGAACTCAAAAAGAATTTGCTGCTATACCAAACTTGACAAAAACAATAATAAACAAGTTGGTGACATATTTTCTTTTGCAATATGTGCCGTGTACTTAGGCCGTAGTATTTTGAAATAGGAAAAAATCCGGCAACATTACAAAATGAAGGAAGCGGAGAGGCGTGATCATTCAGAGGCATGATTCTATTGGTTAGAACCTGAACGACAGCACCATTGGCGTGGTTATTCGTGAAACTCAAGAATTTTTTTCCTAATAATTTTTTGGTTTATTTCCTTGGTGTTTTCGGTGCCACTGAACCCAAAGACATGGTTGTCATCAGGCGGTGTCAGTTGAGGTGTCAGTGAATATTCTTAGGTAACGCCCCACTTTTCTTCCCCCTTTCGTCTCTACCAAGTTACCACTTGCCAAACTATAGCTCTACACCTGTATCTGTCTAGTTATAGGCTACAGCAAACAAATAATATTTTTTTTTAGATATTGCAGCCTATTTTGCAGCATATTCTTCTTCCAAAATCTTCATTTTCAAATTGTGTTCTTCTTCGAGGCATCTCATTCTTGCCTGGGATTCTTTATCCAAAATCGTGATCTCGTGCTGATGCTTTTCCTGTAAATGTTTCAATATTAACTCATGTTTTTCTTCATATGCTTTTTCTTGAACTCCTGTGTAGTTGGATTTTCTCTTGGCCCAGTCTTCTAACCGGGCACTGAGCTGTTGGCACTGAGATTTTTTTTTTGGAGTTACATCTAAAATAGATACTTATGCAAGTTATAAATAATGTTCCAAAATTGAGGGAATTAAAAAATATATTTTAGCGAGTCTGATACTTATTAAGTGTGCATATAGTATACTTTTAATCCCAAGACTTATAATTAAATGCTTTGTTACCTCAATGACCATAATCAAAGCTCACCTTTATTATCAAGACTTTGCAATGGAGCAGACAATGGCTTTTTCAACATTGCCGGTGTATATGTAGCCCAGTCATTTGTAGATTTTGATGAATGAGGCACTTCTTCAACTGATGCACAAAAATAAGAAGAAATATCAGGAGTAAGCTTTGGCCCAGCTTGGATTTTAGTTTTTAAAGTCTTTTTGGTTTCTGTTGGAGCACTAAAACTCTGATTTGAATCCACTGTAAAAAATATATTCCAATAAGAAACTATAGAATTAATAAAACAATTTCAAATAAATAATATGTATTTTAATCATCAAAAATCAGAACTGAGATCAATGATACAAAAAATATGAGGGTTGTAGAATTTTTCACTAGTGCAATATAGGTAGGTACAAAGGAACTTGAAATATTGAACAGGAGAACCAAATCTGGCAATTGAATGAGCCTAAACATGAAAATGCAAGCAATACACCTATAGATCTTAATCAGTACTTACCTTGTGTTGAGTAAATATCAAGGCAAGAACTTGCCGAATGAGAAACATCAATTTTCCTAATTTTTTCTGGAGGATTTTCCTCTATATCCTCAAAATTCTCTGTATCAGAGAGATTATTGCCCTCAACCTGGATTATAATAGATTCTGAAACATTAACAAGACATAAATATTTGGAAAGGATTTAAAAGTTCTTTTATCAACCTGCAGTAGCATCACCATCAAACTTGGACGTACCTCCTGTTAGCTGTGTGCCTAGGATTTCATGGAGGTCACTCTCAGTGTCAGCTATCACTAAATCTTTGAATGGCCCTCCTCCAGTTCCAATGACATATTTTTTATTATCAGCAAATTTTTGTTTAGCCTTTTTCTTTATGTTCTCATACTTATTTTTTAGAACTTTGGCAGTTCTATGAGGATCTCCAAGTATACTATTGAATTCAGTATAGATTTTCTGCCATGCCTCTGCTTTAATTCTGTTGTTGTCTGTATCAGATTTTTTGCACTCTACTGCATTTTTATATTTTATCACAAGATTTATAAGAACATTTTCTTCTCTCGCCGAAAAGTTAGTTGCTCTGAAATTCTTTTTCTCCATAATTTTCATCAAATATATAATACTAGAATTTATAGTAGACATCTATTAGTATATTAATATATTTGTATAATAAACAGTAAAAAAATATACCTACCTATTATATCAACGTATCATTTGCATCTGCGACCTGTTGTGTGCTGTGTGTTACCAAAATATGAAAATAAATACGAAACAGGAAAACTCACAAATACACTTCCAGAAAATAAACAACAACAACATCTTTGATAGGTTAGGGAGTGCCTATTTTCTTCTTCTTTTTATTGTGGGCATTGCAACTTACAGTTCAGGTAAACCTGCAGTGGTACAACACTCGAAACTCTGAACCACGTTCAACAGTGAACTCGAGTTCAACAGAACTTGTGTTGAACCATTATTGGTACAACCGGGCCTTAGTCCTAACTTTAAAGGCTCATTTAGGATAACTAAAGTCAATACCAATAACACGGTCGAAGTCCAAATAAAACCAAACAAAAAACAACTTATCACACCAACTAATTGAAACCTTTTGTTCCAGGTGACGATGACGATCCCTAAACCAATTTACTACCTGACTTTCCTATTATCTTTTATGACCACTTCAGTGGCTTTAGCAAATTCTAATGGACAACCTTATTCACTTACTCCAATTCAAAATACCGCAGAAATATATTTTACCATGATTTAGGCTATGCCAAAATGCAGACAGATAACTTTGCCCTAATCTCCTATACAAACATATCATTCCTAAACGAAAGAATTAAGTTTGTCAAATCAGTCTATGAAAACAGCCTCTTGTTATGTTCTAAATCACCTGAATTTGGTTCATGTCAAGAACCTTTAAAATTAATTAAAATTCAAATTCCTCAATTGGAATCAAAATTTGAAACAATTGTTCATCTCGGACATAACCAAGAAGTAAAAAGAAAACGACGCGGACTTTTCAATGGCGTTTCCTATGCATTCAATTGGCTATACGGAACTCCCGACGCAGACGACGCCAAATATTATTCCGAATCGATTAAAAATTTATTTGCTCAAAATCATGATATTCAATCTTTAATGAGACAACAGATTCACATTATTTCAGATGCCATCGATAGTTATAATTCTTCGACTCAATTGCTTAAACGTAATGAAGAAAAGCTCAACTTCAATATTATGCAATTTAATAATTTTAGCGAAATTACTTCAAACAGTATAGAAAAGCTAGAATTAAAACAAATTATTTTAAGGCACATCAGCCTTTTGTCTCAAATGATTTCGGATTTGAATGAAGAAAGTGACACTCAGACCTCTTCTATATTATTCGCAAAGCAAAAAATAATCCATCCTTCTGTTATATAGTGGTGCCGCGAGACAAGACTAGACGAGACTTAGGGTTGGTCTCGTCTCGTCTCGTATCGACATCTCGAGACGAGACCGTGATTTAGTCTCGGTCTCGAGTACCAGTCTCGCCTCGTCTCGAGTGGTCTCGTCTGGTCTCGAGTTATACAGGGTGTCCAAAAAATAGCGTAAAAACTCTTCTCTACGTGGTGGAGGTCCCTACAAGGAACCCCAGAAAAATACTTTAAAAAATCTAGTGGCATTCTTAAGAAAGTTATTTGCATTTTAATATTTATTAAAATTGGCAGCACTGAAAATATCCCGTTGACAATATGTCGGAGAATAAAATTAAATACACATATAACTACCTGAAGAATTCGAAGGTGAATTTTCACATCTACCTCTTCATATTACCAAGAATAATGCTGGAGAAGGATTTTTTTAATTTAATTATTTTTCTAGGGTTTCTCAAAGGGTCCTCTACTATGCGGAGAGTTTTTACGCTATTTTTCGGACACCCTGTATTTATTGTTTTTGTTTTTATATTATAACGGAAGTCCAAACTGCCACAGTGAAAAAGCAATTAGTGAAAAATCACAATAAAGACTAACCCTGATATTTAATTTACTGATTTCATATTCAAATAGCCCAGGATAGTCCAATAATAAAGCTATGAAAGAAAAATTTTAAGTGTAATCTCGAGACTCGAGACTACACGAGACTCTCGCCGAGTCTGGTCTCGTCTCGTCGAGACTTCACGAGACGAGACCAAAAGCCAGTCTCGTCTCGAAAAGTCGAGACGACGAGACGACACGAGACCAGTCTCGAGTCTCGCGGCATCACTACTGTTATAACTCCAAACTTGCGAAAAGAATTATTAAAAATTCAACTAAGGAACTAAGTAACAATTTGGAATTTCCCATACCTCTTACCGATATTAGTAATATTTATAAATACTTTTCTATTTGCGAATTAAACGTTATTTACGATCATGAAGTACTAATTTATGTTATTAAAATTCCTCTAGTTCAAGAATAACTTTATAATTTGTTCAACTTAATTCCTTTACCAGTTCCCTATACAAATTCAAGTGTTTATTCCTACATCGATCCTTCCTACCCTGTCTTACTGCTTAGTGCAACCAGAACACATTACGGCCGACTAAGGGATCTATCAGCTTGCCAGAAGATATCACACGAAGGCTATCTATGCTCTGAAATTGTGGTTTACCTTACGTCCGAAAGACCAGTGTGCGAAACAATTTTACGCACCAATCCACCTGATAATCTTCCTGAGGACTGTCCAACCCGCACTATCAATGCAGATATCGAGATGTGGCATCCTTTATCCACTAATTCTTGGCAGTGGTTCATTTATTTGCAACAAGAGAAACGCTGACACAATTGATGTGCAAATGGAGGGGAATGGAATTTTCCAGTTGCACTCTGGATGCAAATGTTATGCATTTTCCACTGTACTATATGCAAGTACAAACCAAACCTCTAATTACTCAAAGTTCATACCATCAATCGACATAACTAAGGACGACTGTTGCCAGTATCACCGAGAATTCCTTAAGTCCAAACCAATACAAATGGACCTAATGAAGTTCAATGGTAACAATTTAGACGAACTTCGCCATTCGAAGCAGAAATTGGAACAATTTGACAGAATTCTTGAAGAAAATATGAAGCAATCGTATTTTTCCAAATATACGTCATGGTTTTCTACAACAATTGCAATAATTGTAATTATAGCACGTTTAGTTATATTAATGTGCTGTTGCTGCAAGTGTTCATGGTTACCATTCATTGGGAGATTTTTCCCAAAGCATCCCAGCTATTGTGGACTTCCACAAATATGTATCACTAACCACGACGAAAGATTCGAACTCAGCGACCGCCCTTTGACAGAGTTGAGACTTCGCCATTTAGAAGAACTAGATGAAGCAAACGATAGAGTATTTCATTACGCAAATGCAAGTTCTGTGCCGTGTTCGACAAATGTTCCTATCACACGACCAAGAAGAAGCCTAAGGGAAAAACGTTTTCAAATACTTATAAACTTTTTTTCAAAAATTATTTCTTATATTTGTCTTTAAATTTTGATAAAATTATTATTGTATCAAAATTCTTAAAGGGGGAGGTGTTAGATACCTAGCCTAGAATTTCCTTTTATTATTTGCTTTTTACTAATAGGTACCCTATTGGATAATTTAACTTTGTTACAATTTATATAAAACTTAATTAGCTCGTAAGTATATTCCTCAGTTGAAACATTTTATTTGTCAAACAAACCTTAAATATAATTTAATTTCCTAAACACAGACACTTTTAATAGCATCACTTCTAATCGAACATGGGAAGACTTTTTATTCTCATGGTCAAGTATACACTTGAACGCAAAGAGTGTCTTCTTTCTCAGATTTCCAGATAGCTAAAATCAGTCTAACTCGAGTCTCAGTTTCGAATAGGTTAACCGAAACCTGCTCTATACTTGTAATAATTTTAAGACTTAAAATAAAATAGTTAAAAACTTTCGGTGTGTTAAATTGTTTTCGCTGCTCATCCATCCATCCCGACAACATTTTCGTGCAGGGAAGCACGTAGAAAATACATCCCTGGTATCATTTTTGAGTACACAACAGAATACGTGACAACAATTTGCTCTTACTCCACTCCAACTCCGTGCTGAATAGCCGAACCCAGCTTACGTTGGCAACTCAAGCCTTTTCTAGATAAAAAATTCGAAAGCATTGACAATTTTGCATTGTATTGCCAACATAATGTCATTTTGACTTTTATCTTTAAAAAAAAAAAACAGACTTTATGATTGCCAATCAATAGGAGAATCGTCTTATCATCGTGCCATCGTACGTCAGATGCATGAAGAGTAATAAAATCTGTTTTTTTTTTAAAGATAAAAGTCAAAATGACATTATGTTGGCAATACAATGTAAAATTGTCAATTTTGAAAGGAACAAATGCGCTGGCTTTCATGCATTTAAATGGTTTGAGTTGGGGCTTCAGTACTCAGGTGCAACAAAAACTTTTCGAAAGCAATAGGCGCGTAATGCCCCGGAGCTGTTCTGGAGCTCCTCCTAGGTGTGGAAGGAATACAACTATTGAAGACCTACCCTTAGATGTGATAACCATCTTCCTCCCGAACGTCGTAAACGTCCGTGATCTACACCGACTTTCTGCTTCCCGAACGCCACCTTGCACTAGGTTATCGAACGCACCACAAATATGTGAGGATGTTGGTTGTCAACTTGTCGGATTTGGATTTCGATTTATAAACAAAAACAAAACCGATAGGTTAACGGTTAACAAAAATAACAATAATTGTAAACTAATAGTCGAGAAGGATTATTAAAAGGTGCGTTTTTCAATGACGGTTCGATTGATATCGCAAAACAAAGCGTTACATTGCTACTTGATTCTTAGCGTTTGGATTTTATTGGTGATCGCAGGACTTTACAAGTTCTTGGACTGGGACAGGGACGAAAACGATTTAGTGCCGGTAACGACGGAACTGTTTCACGATTTGGGCATTGCCGGAGTGAAGACGAAGAGGATTTTCAAAATATGCAATTTTCCTGAAGAAATTTTTCAAGGAGAAGAAGGTAACATTCTTGGGAATAGTTCCAAATACAATACATTTTATGCTCACTCTCTATGACTTATAAATTTGTGTTGGGATCCCAGGATCCAGAATGCGTTCGTCGCAAGTAAAATCACTTTGTTACTAATTTAAAGATAATTGATTAAAAATAAAATAGAGATTTTAGGTACCTATACAATAAAATCTTAAGTTGAATTCGAGAGGCGTTTCAGCTACCAAAAATGTGTACAGGGGGCCCAGGGTTGGAAAAAACCTAACAAATTGAAAAAAATAGGTTTTAAGGTTTTTTATATTTTTTTCTAGTCTTTAGGTTTTTTAAGGTTTATGTAGGTTTTTTAAGGTTTAGATAGGTTTACTCATTGTACTTTAATTGTATAAATAGGTAAGTACTTATACATACTGCTATGACAACTAACATAAGGGACGGAGGAAATGACTGGAAAGAGACCAATAAAATTAAACTCTTCGAACATAACATGTTTTTTTTTTGTTATAAAATTTTTAACAATAGGAAAAGGAACTGGTGAATGTATGTTAAATTAAAAAATATTCATTCAATAATCGCTGTGCTCTGCGAAGTCTTCAATATCACTACTCACCTCGCTACTCACTATCTGAGTCACTGTTACCGATGTCATTCTCTGTCTCTGTACTACTAGATTTTGAAAGAATATTCACATTTGTCTTGATGTATATAAACTTTTCCACCCTCTTTGTAGAAAGCTGGTTCCCTAATTTGGAGTGAATAAACCCAAATGTAGAAAAATTCCGTTCGGAAGAGGCACTGGATGTAGCCATAGAAAAAACTTGCAGTGCAAGCTTTTGTAACAAGGGATAGCTTCCAAAAATCTAAAACAGTTTTATTTTTCTTGTCCAGCATTTGGTATCTGAAAATAAAAAAAGAACAATAACAGCATATCAACTATACTTTTTTAAAATTATTCAGGTTTAGTTTATCATCTAAAAATCAGTTAAGGTAAAACGCTAGTTATTGACACTATAAGGGACATAATTACTCTTCAGCATTTTTTTTTTTACCAAAACACTTAAGGTGTTTCTTATATTTTTATATTGATCTTTGGAGATTTTTTTATTAATTTATTATTAAACTTTCAATATAGTGACCTTATTTCCATTACTGTGATTTTTTTTTATTTGATGTTTTCCATACCAGTGATTGACTTTTCTCTTAAATTTAACTAATGCCATATAACAAAAAACTAACATGTAGGTATGTCTAAAAAATAGTATCAGATACATCTACAGGTTCTGGAAAAACATATTTTACCCTATCACCTGATACTATCATATTTGGGAAAGGCAATTTCTTAATAATCTGAGTAAAACTTATTACAGATACATCAGTTGCATTTAACTTAAATGTAGTTTTTTTATCATTACAACAAATCATTCCTACTACTTCAGCTTCAGAATTAATTAATATTTCTTGAACAACACAAGCAAAATTTTTCCAGTTTTTCTTGCCAGGAAACTTAACTAATATATAGTCACCCCCTTGGATATTTTCTTTTTCAAGGACTATGTTTTCCTTTTCAGAACTCTTTAATTTAGTTATGTTTATTTCTTCATCACTGTTCAGTTCAAAACTTTCCTCATCACTTTCTCCACTTGATGCCCACTCTTCTGAAAGAGAATCTGAGTCACTTATATATTTCCTCCTTTTTGATCCTACTGGTTTTCTTTTTTGTAGACTTTTTGAAGTTTTCTTTCTTTTCTCACTGAATTTTTGTTTTGTCTCTGTATCTTTTTGCTTTTGGAGTGCCTTCTGTTCTCTCAAAATTAATCTTTCTTTTTTCTCTTCTATTTTTCTTTGTTTTTCATTTTCCTTTTTTCGATGGTATGCCTGCCATGCACTCAATGTCACTACAGATGGAATTTTTTCTTTATTCTTCCTTTTCTTAGTATTAGGTTGTTCTTCAGGCCAAAAAAGCGCTTGCTTAAATGGAGAAGGAACTACAAAAGGAAGTTTAGCTGTACTTGATTTTACTGCAGTTAACTTTTCAGGAGTTTCAGGATCTTGAAATAGGGAAACATTAAATGAAATATCAGAGGGTCCTGCCACTGGACTTTTTTCCCCATTATTTAAATGTATTTGTGTTACACTTAAATTATTTTCTTCTAAAGAAACCCCAGAGGAAGAAATTCCAGAGGGTCCGGGCATTGAATAGTTTTCTTCCTTATCATTTTTGTCTAAAGAAACCCCAGAGGAAGAAATTCCAGAGGTTCCAGGTATTGAATAATTTTCTTCCTCATCATTTTTGTCTAAAGAAACTCGAGAGGAAGAAATTTCAGCGGGTCCAGGCCTTAAATAGATTTTTTTCTTATCTGGTATTTTTTCTTTGGTCATTTCAGTACATGTTAAATTCAAATCAGCATTTGATGAATCATTTTCTGCGATGTTAACATCATTTTGTTCTCCTTCCTGAGTTTCTGGCACTGTTCTTTTTCTTGTTTTGTTTTGTTGAAATACAGTGGTTTCTTGATACACAGATTTCCACAATAAAAAAAGAGATGTATCTTCTGTTGCGCATTCATCTGCAGATGTTAATAACTTCTTAAAATTTTCCATTTTTTCCGGACCTATCTTCTCTTCAAGATTTTTTAAAAAAGCTTTTAACTCTTTTTCATTTGACTTGACAGGTTCATTTACATTAATTGTCTTATTGGATGAAATCTTTAGAAAATCAACGTTTTCCACATTAAAGGGGCATAGTCCCGATACTCTAAAACCGTTTTGAATTGTTTCTGGAGAAATATGTTCCAAACTTTTTTTGAAAACTGGACAAAAATTTTGCTTTTGCAATTTGACGCCAGAATTTTCCATTCTCCATTGTTGCACTTCCTTTTTCCATGCATTTTTTAATGGGCGAAATACTGAGACGTCCATAGGTTGCAATAAATGCGTAGAATTAGGGAAAAGGGCAATTAAAACAATTCCATTTGCTGCACAGAATTCGGATAAGTGAAGGGTCATGTGTGATACATGTCCATCCATAAAGAGCAATACTGGTCTTGGTATTTTTTCACGTTCTAGCCAGGGAAGGAAGACATTCGTTATATACCCAAAAAAAGTGGGGCCACACATCCAACCATTCTCTGATGTTCCAATGCCCCATTCTGAAGGAACAGATGCAGCAATGTGACCAGGAATCCTTGAGTAGCTCAGGACAACCATTGGTGGAGCCATTTTTCCCGAAGCATTTGCGGTGACCAAAACTGTTAAGTTCTCTTTCTCATCGCCTGAAACATTGTACACACTTTTGGCCCCTTTTCTAGTAATTACTTTATCGCCTTTGGGACTGAAAAAGAAGGCGCTTTCGTCTGTATTGAAAACTCTGTCTGGCTCATTGGTAAGCTGGTATATATTTTGGGTATTTAAATATTCTTGTATTTCAGCAAACCAATTTCTTATTTGTTGTTCGGTGACACTTTCTCTTGATACTGTTAAATTTTGTGACACTCGAGTAGTTAATTCAGGATGCCTTTTAATGAAGTTTTTGAACCATGTATCACCTGGTCTATTATTAATAAAGTAATTTTTTCTGGGTTTTTTTTTTTTAATAAATATTCCACACTATCAAATAATTGTACTTTTGAAACCGCATAATGTATCTTTGACAGTTCCAATATCCACTAAACTAGCACTTGTTCTTCATCAGGGCTTAGACTCCCAGCAGGACCCATTGAACAAACTTCTGGTACTTTCCCCGACATTTTGTAAAGTAAGGTGATGCGTGGTACCCCTGTTCTCCTGGCAGCTTCTGCAATGGGAACTCCCTGACGAGCCATCTCTAGCCCTTGGTTCATTTGGTCTTGCATCTAGTTTTTTTTCGGAGGCATAGTTAATCTGAAAAAAAAATTAAATTGAAGACTAGTAATTGACATCTAATAATTGACACCCCAGTCAATAACTGGATTTACTTGAAATAAAAACAAAAAACTTGAATTGGCAACATCGTCTTCACCTCAGGATCTTAATGCAAACTAAATCTTAAAAATATCTCATAAGTCAGTCTTTGACAGGGTGTCAATCACTGGTCTTGGTATACATATATGCATTTGTCATTGACACTCATTTTTTCACAGTTTCCTTTTGTTAGGTTATGTTTTTACTCCTTATTTTGAATTTTTAGTCTATTTTATAGATCTGATTTCACTACCAATACCAGATATTTAAGAATTAAACTTTTTAAATTAAGGTTGAACAACTTACTCACCTTAAGAATCTGATTAAGCCACATATATCACTGTGCACACTTTGAAAACTTGAACACGTGTGTTGTTAACGCCGGGTCCGATAATTATGGCGGCCGATGCGGTATTGCCAAACAGATAAAGGAAGAAGTTTATGAAGGAATTTAACACAAAACAAGGCACATTTCCTTAAAAACCAAGAATTTGTAGGAAGTGTCAATAACTAGCTGGATGTCAATAACTAGCATTTTACCTTACACTAAAACTGTTTTGCTCTTTTTGGGTTTGTGCCCACACACGAAAGGCATTTAACTGACAAAATATTGCTTCCGATTGGTCTTGCTATTAATAATAAAATCTTCTAGTTCTTCCCGGAGGGCCCTTTCCATATCTTCGCCAGCATACCTGGGATCTAGAAGTTATGCCAAACCATGGGCATCTCCGTAGATAAATTGGAAACGTTCCTAAAATGAAGTGCGTAACATTTGCTTAAATAGATGGACCACAATATCGAGCACAATATTAATTAACATGCAATATTCAATTCACATACCTGAATCTTTTTTTAATGTATATTAATTCTTGTTTCGAGAGATGTTGATTAGCTTCTTCTCTTTCATATTTTTTCGGGAGATCTAAGAAGGCATCAAAAACCTCAGATATCGGGACATCATCAGCTTGAAAATTTTTTATCAATACATTTATTGGAGTCAATATAAAAATTCCTTTTTATAAATTTTTTATAAAGTTTTCATCAGAAACTGTATCCTTTATGTTTTGTCGGGCTTCTTTTTGAGACTGGGGTGCCCCAAACAGAAATTCTCTAGAATTTACCATTTGAAGAAGAATTTCTTCGGATTTCAAAAGTGATTCAAAACAGGCCAACAGGGTTCCCCACCTTGTCTTTCGAGGTTTCACCAACTAACATAAACGAAAAAGATGAAATTATATAAACTAGAGTTTGTTAACTTTAATAAAAATTTCTTACTCTAGGTATATGTTTTTCGTTTTGCGCTTCGCGTAATCTATGATTCAATATGTGATGATTTTTGAAAAAGACAACGATATTTGTACACTTAGCTGCAAAACCATCCAAATCTAAGGAATAATTAGCTGATCTGAAAACGAAAAAACAAGTTTATTTTTATTATTACCATATAATATGTCTAAGTTCAATCACCTGGACTCATCTCCAATTAGGTCTTTCACTAACAAATGGAGGCAGTGGCAGACACAGCCATGAATATACTTGTCTGGGAACTTTTCTTCTAATATTTTCCAGGCCGCTTTATTGGCAGCAGCATTGCCAGTAACTGCCCCAGCTACTGAAATGGATAAATCAAGTGAATTTATAACCCGTGCTATGTCATTAGCAATCCAATTTGCACTATGGGCCTGTACAGGGTATTTGATTATATTTTGCACCATACCTACAGCCTTTACTATTTAAGATAGAAAAAAATTTCAAATACAAAACTTGACAGTTTTTTTCTATATTTTCTGATAATATTATCAGAAAAAACAAAATCGCATCGGAAAATGGAGAAACGTAGACAACTTCGACTTTTTTAAATGGAACACCCTGAATATTTTGCGATAAAATGATAGAACTTTTCTTCCTGATTACATACATATATATATATATATATATATATATATATATATATATATATATATATATATATGTTGATCACATTTGCGTCAGCCATTTTTGACTTTTATCGCATAATATACAGGGTGTTCCATTAAAAAAGTCGAAGTTGCTTACGTTTCTCCATTTTCCGATGCGAGTTTGTTTTTTCTGATAACTTTATCAGAACATATAGAAAAAAACTGTCAAGTTTTGTATTTAAATTTTTTTTCTATCTTAAATAGTAAAGGCTGTAGGTATGGTGCAAAATATAATCAAATACCCTGTACACCTGGATTAATGGATTCCTTAAAATATGTACCAGTTGGTGAGGCATCCATGTAGTTTATAACTGACTCGCCTACAATTTACAAAATTTATAAGAATCTTTTTTCAATTTAAACTAAGTTAAAGTGCTTCCAAAGCTAATTGAAAATGGTTTCAGGCTCTTAACTTCCACACCGCCTGTGTAGGCATTGTCCAGGGTCCAGACAAACAATTTAGGAGCCCCAAAGTATTTTAATTGATCTTGCAAATATGTACTTCAATTTACCATTAATATTAGTCCATGCATCACTGATCAGGCATATATTCTTTGGCATATCTTTAGCAACTTTCATTTTTTTAAATACAGACCTGAATTTTTTATGTCATTTTTAGAAAGTGCCTTTTATTCCCTTCTTAACGATATAACTTTTGAGTATGATTGGCCGACGTTTCTGATCTAAAAAGTGATCATCAGTGATTTTTACCAAAATTTTACCTTAGTTCGGCCCTAGTTATGAATCTGTATTTCATAAACTATAAGGAATTTGGTAACACTGTGAGCGATTCTCAAATGGGCATCAAAAAAGGTAACTTTTTTCTAATTTAACCGACCTTGTAGCTCTCGCCGTTTCGGATATACCAATAGTGGTATCACTTAAAATATACACCCTGTATATTCAGTTTCAGTCTCTGTGTCAGTTCCAGCATCGTTCGACTTTAATTTTGTGACTGTGATTCTTTTTGGTTTTGTTTTGTGTCCTTCTTTTTGATTGTGACATGCCCTTTACTCTTAGTCGATCTGTAGATAATCTTCCCTTTTTTTCTGAAAACAGCCTACATAAACTGGATTTTTTTAGTCATTTGCTTCTTTCGAAATATTCGAGGAAATAGTCAAATGACGCAACTTACAGTAATTAATAGATTAACTTAGATCGAAAAATATAAGAATGACAATTCCACTCATGTATAAATAATTCCTTTTCAAATGTCAAAAATCGTAGTTTGCTAGCGGATAATAGGAAGGAAGAGAAAATATAACTGGATAAAAAAATCGGATAAATCTTCTGTTGATGCAATCGTTACCGTAGTAACAATTGCATATAAAATTGGTTTTTGAATCATCTGTCAAATAATTTTCACAAAAATTCACAAGTTCTATCATTTTAGCTTATTAAAAGTGTATTTTTAAATAAAATTAAAACATTTTCAACATGCAGCGATTTGGGACAATTAAAGATGAATTAATAGCGAAATAGAAAATTCAATTCCTGAGGACACAGAGTCAGTCTTCTTCTCTTTCTGTAGAGTCAAATTTTAAGGGGCAAAATATTTATTCTAATTGTACCTTCAATAACTGTTCATTTTAAAAAGTATTTCCATATTTTATTTTGATTATGCATTCGTGGAATTGCCGTACTAAATACCATTCGAGCTCAGATTTTGAGCAGGATATTTTTTTACTTGCTCTCTCATACTTACTTTCATGCAATTTGTCTCGATCTGTTCCACAAAATCACTCGAGCTGCGCTCTCGTTAAATTTCCTAAAAGTAAGTATTCGAGACCAAGCCAAAAAATATCCGGCTAAATCTGAGCTCTTATGGTATTACCTACGATTATTTCACTCATTATGAAATAGACCAATCAGACAACGTCATTTTTTGAATACATTTTGTTTAAATAAGTCATTATTGCACAAGAGCCTGTTTATTCGTGATTAAATTTTTGTTTACCTTTTTTGACAGACTTTTGATAGAAATATTCTGACTTTTCATAATAAATAGAACTCTTTATTGTTGGCCTTACTCTTAATATGGTTCTAATTATTCAGGAAATAATCTAGCCGTATACCACTCGACCTAAAAATTTGGATGGATTGAACTATCCAAATATTTCTTGTATGATTGTTGCTTTTTGGCAAATAGTTTCAAACACAATGACCTGAACCTTTTCAAAAGGAAAAGGGAATAAATAAGTCTTGATGGGAAGAAGATTTTTTTTTAATAAATTCAGTTCCCTTCTTAATATTCAAAAAACAACAACACAAAAAAAATAAACAGTGGCTGCAAACTCCTTTTTGAATGTTTAAATTGTAGAGAGCAAGGTGAGGCCTATTTCTCCGATTTATCATTATTCCGATTGAGACAGATAAGTTTGTGTTTAGGGTTGGCAAATGACCGGTCAATTATCTTTCGTTCAATTGTCAAATTGCTCGCCTCAAATACTCGAGTAGTGGGGAGCGTGACGTAGCATCATTCCCATCATTTATTGCTGGTCTAGCCGCCAGGTATAACATAACAAGGGCAGAGAGACAATAGACAATAGTATATTTCCTAACTAGTGCGAGAAGAGCCACTTTTCTGCACGCGATTGCAGTTTACCGAACGACCCGTAGCAGAGTCCATCAAGCAATCAAAGAAAAGAGGCTTTCCGCACGAGTAAGAAACACTATTTTTTCCACGAGATGGATGTTAATATTTGTACTTATATATTTAGGTACCAGTTTTCGAGCCAATTTAAGATTTTTTTTATCACTTTTTCGCACATGTACCTGAAGTATACCGTATACCTGTAAGTAAAGTCCATTCCAAAATAATTCGTTGACTCTTCAAGTATCAATAAAATGTTGATGATACCCTCAACCACAAACTTCGACTACCTGTGAGCAGGTCCGGGTTGATTTTATTTATTATACCTGCCTAGGTGAGATGTACATGTAAATGTGGGTGAATGTTTTAGTTAAATTATTTAGTCTTTGTGCAGAACTAGAGCTGTTATATTGACAAAAAAAATGTGGCGTCCATGGGCAAATGATGGTAGTATTGCAACCGGAAGTGGTATTTCAAAAAAAAACATTTATCGCTAGATGCCAAGGAAATTGTGAGGAACGTTTATTTAACCCTTCTGCAGAGAGGCTATAATCATAATCAAAGTGTGAGTGAATCATCCGTTTTAACCAAAACTCCATTATCTACGGTTAAAGATATCGTAGCCAAACGCATCCAGCCAAGGAAGCAACGGTGTGACAGCGGCAAGTCAAGAAAGGTTGAAGAAGCGGATAAAGAGTTGATTCGTAGGAAAATTTATGATTTGTACAGTAAACAAATAATACCTACAATAGATTCTCTAAAAAAGGTACTTATAGAAGACGAAACTGATATATTATGTAGCAGAACAAGCCTTTGGAGAATTGTGAAATCAATGGGTTTCAAATATCAAACCATTAATAAGAGGCAAGTGCTAATGGAATCCCAGCGATTACAAGCATGGCGTCGAGAATATTTAAGTTCCATAAAACAATATAGGGCAGAAAATCGTCCGATAATATATCTTGACGAAACATGGTTTGATACCCATGACACTCCCAAAAGAGGATGGAGCGACTCAACCTCCAAATGTCAAACCAAAGCACCCTCAAATAAAGGCCAGAGGATTACAATTTTGCATGCCGGATCAGAAAATGGTTTTGTTCCAAACTCTTTGCTGCTATCCGCAAAAAAAATAGCCAATTCATCATTAGATTATCATCAAGATACCGATGCAAAATTATTTGAAGAATTGTTTCAGAATCGCCTTCTTCCGAACATACCAGAAAACAGTATAATTGTGATGGACAACGCTAGTTACCACAGCCGTCAAAAACATAAAATGCCCAATGCAAGTAATACAAAAGTAGAACTTCAAAAATATATGATGGAAAATGATATGTATTTCGAAGAAAATTATACAAAGAAAGATCTTTTAAACGTTTTGAGATCATATAATGTTAAAAAAGAATATATTTGTGACGATCTTGCTAGCGCTTGTGGTCATACAGTTTTGCGTCTTCCTCCATATTATTGTATTTTCAATCCAATAGAACATATATGGCATGAATTGAAGGCAATGGTTAGGAGAGGAAACACCTCTCCTACACTTAGTACTGCTGTAATAGATTTAATTAGAAAATGTGTAGATAATATTCCAGTTCAAAGCTGGAAAAATTCTGTCAATCACGTTATAAAAGTTGAAGAAACCTATAATTCAATAGGTATTAATGTTAAGCCATTAATAATTAGTTTAGGCATAGATGAAGATGACAGTGACAGTGAAACGGAACTAAATATAGATTAGGTTTGGTTGAATTGTGTATTGTATTATATTGTATTAGATATTAAGTTTTGGTAATTATTAAGATAGTATAAGATTATAACATAAATAAATAATATTATGAAACGCCTTTTTCGTTTTCATTATAATGGGCACAAAATCCGTACCTGTAAACCTTTGAGTGGGTATTAAGGAACCCGGTACCTACATAAAAGTACCTGGTACCTACACAATAGAGGCTAATAGCTATCTAATTTATGGTAGGGTTTTATAGCCGTGAAGTCAACGAAATATTTTGGAATGGACTTTACCTACCTACCAATTTGCGGAAAAGTGGTACTTTCAGGATCAAATGCGTGCGGAATAGTGGGGTTTCAAGTTCTGTTTGTTTCATTTTCTAGAGAAGAATTTTATTTAATTTTTTTTATACAATAAACTATTGCTTCTGCTAATTTTTTTTTTTTAATTGATCAAATTGATTTGGTCAAATATTTGAACTTCGGTCAAATTGAGTTGACCGAGGTGACATCCCTACTTGTGTTTGGTATTATTATTATTATTATTTTTTTTCTTTTTTTTTTGAAAAAAAACAACGGATGGGTGCCACACTGGAAAGCGAACATGGGGGGCCCCGTCTCGTCTCCGAGGTTCTGCGAATTCTGCCAATTTACGGTACCCTTGATTGGGCTAAGGGTGTTGATGTGAAGCATGATGCTGGGCGCCTTCGTAGATGTGCCGGTCAATCTTCTCAGCGCGGCCCAAATACATCATAACGCGGCTCAATTTAATTAAATATAAATTTCTTTTGTGTAGTAATAATGGTAATATAAAGTTTTAAATTTTATGAGTGTGCGTTTTTTTTTTTTTTTCTGCGTTAGAATTGTGTATTAAAACATGAAGTAAAAGGTAATAATTAAATTTCTAAAATCTTATACCTAGTTAAGAATAAACGTAATGGAATACGAAATACGTGGCAATAATTATTTAAAGAATAATAGTTATGGATGAAAGTTTTTTTTTTCCTAAATTTTGAAAGTCTTTGTTTTTGACCTCATCATCCTATTTGAACTAGATTCTGGTGCTTGTATTTCTTCATAGACGTGTGCAAAATTTGGTTCATTAGTAGAGGCGAGATATACTTCATTGTCGATTCCACTAAGTTCGTGTTAGTTAATGGAAATAGTTTCATTTTGTCCTGGAGTTCGCCTAAAAGTTACTTTAGGAGCGAAGAACCTGCTGTCGGAAACACGTCTCTTAAGCTGGAAGAGCAAATGCAGCAGAATCGAAAATCAATGCATGGAATATTAAAGACTAATTAAATGCTGTTATGAGAAATTTTTGGCTTTGCCAATTTTCTCGGAGATGGCTATTGTGCTAGCTTTCGAAAATCTGTGTTCCTAGTGAAGTCATAGTGAATACATTAAAGGCTAATTGAATGCTGTAATGAGAAATTTTGGGCTCCATCAATTTTCGCGAAAATGGCTATTCTGGTAGCTTTAACTTAAGCCCTCAGTTGTCTTTGATTATAGTCAAATATTAAGACCGCAACAAAGATGAAAATACGGTGCTCTGATTGGTTGATTTTTCGAAACTTGTTTTAAGGTCTTTAAAAAAACGGCACATCAGAATTGGCTCAAATTTGGCATAAACATTATTTGATCGATTATCTACAATTCGCTTATTTTAGTTTTCGATATTCTACCTTTTTTTAATTCAAAAATCATGTTTGCAACCTCCAAAACAACTAAATGTGTTGGTGGTGGCATATTTGCATGTTTATCCAGCTTGGATCCGTGAAAAGCATATTTTATTGATAACCACGAAAAACTAAAAAAAGCTAATTGTAGATAATATATAAATAATGTTTATGCCGAAGGATTTTGGAAATTATTGCGATTTTTTTGAGATGAACAAAACGAATTTTGAAGGTGAAAATTGGTAAAAATTTGACAGTTACATTTCAAGTAGATGGCGCCACGGCACGGCTACATTGGGAGCATCATAATTGTATATTTGTCTTTCTCTTTCACTAAGTGTTTCACCGACAGACAGATTTTGTTTTGGACAAAAAATAAAATATTGAACCGTATGTGTAGAGTGGCGCAGTCGTTTTTTTCATAAACTAAATTTAAGCATTAACGTGGCCTTAAAGGAAGAACAGAGGTTTAAGGAATGTAGTGATGACACAAAAAAGTAAATTACGAGGCCAATTTCACTATTCTGTGACGTCACAGTTTCTTTACAAGCTCTACCTTGTCGATTTTTTTTTTCGGTCTTCTATTACAAATGTATTAGAATTTTAGATGCGAACTTCTATACGAATCTAGCGCTAAAAAATTTATTGTATAAAATTTTCACGATATAGGTAGGTATAATCTTGTATAATGCGTTTATTGTTTATTTTGTAATCAAGGATCGATCGATAATACCATTCATGTTAAATATAATATCAATAATTCTGAAAAAAGGAAACAAAATATTTTTATTACGGCAGTAAAATCTCACAATACCACGATTATTACCATTGAGTTCTATGTATAAACAATTTCCTGATTTGAAATTTTTTTGATAATTTGTCGGGCATATGGGTTTTTTGAATACCAACAAATTCGGACAACACGTAGACGACTTTCGCCTTACCTTTCTTTCGTCACAAAGGTCGTCGAATTCGACGAATTTTCCTGATTGTTGTAAACAAATCGCGGTGAAGTGGCCTATGACGTTATTGTTGAACCCATCCAAGAGAGCGCGATGAGAGTTTTCGTTTCTTCATAACGATGTGTATGGAAGTACCCAATTTATCACTCCAACGAACTTGCAGGTTATTCACTCTCTCCGTTTACTTTGAAAGTTTTTGGAATAAGATACAATGGAACAGGCGTCATGAAATCAGAATCTTGCGCCTCGATGAACATGAAATTTCCTGTGAAAAAAATACATTTGTTAGAATGAACACTCTACCTCACATAAACATCCTTAACATAAAGAATAACAAAAGTCATAAGTTTGTTATGAATTAAGTTTCCCGATACTTTCAACCGAGTCGCCACATTGTCACGGAGAGACTGTTTCCGTTGATTGATGTTAGTACGCGGCCCAAACACGGTGTAACAATAATTAATAATATTTGAAATATTATTGATTGTTGGAATATTTGATTTTTTCAATATTAAAAAACAATCGAGGTAGCTATATGAAAAGCGAGCTTCAGAAATGGATTTTGTCTCGATGGTTTTCATGAGGGATTCATCTTCGTTCACAGCAAAAAGTATCACTTGCAGAAGAGCATCGACAGCGCATGTGTTTGTGACAATTTTCGTGTGCGTTTGGGATGAAACTTTCCCACGTCCTAGTGAGCCATTTTCATAATTGGATTCTTCGGAAAATTCATTGCTTTGAACATGTGCTGCCTATTGCCAAGGTAACAGTTTACTCGAGTTCTATATTTCGGTTTTTTAATGAGCCCCTTCCAATTTTATTCGTGTCGCAAAGGGAGAATGTGTGTCGCAGCTTTTAAATGATCGCATTCGAAGCAAACACGTTTTTCACCGTAACCTTCATCTTGATTGGATAAAGGTAGTGAGCATTTATCGAAAATGAACAGCCTTATCACAAACAACACATCGGTGTGCACCCGTTGGATTATCTCCTCTTTGACATGCGACGCACGATTACGTAGCTTTTAAGGTTACCTTCTTGCCATTTTTAGAATTTCTGTCGTTCGTCTTCTTGGTGTTCTTTATCCGGGAATATTCATTGAGCGAATTGTTACGCGCCCGTTCCTTCCACGGATTTTCTCCGTCTGATGCTTCTGAAGTTTTGTTAGCTGCATCTAAAGTTCCGTTAGTTGGATTTGCTTCATCGGGCATATTCTCTTCTTCATCATCCAGATTCTGTTTATTTAATAAATTGGCATCAACAAGCTTCATTTGGCCATCTAAAACTTTCAGGTGACTTTTCGAGAAATTGGTCAACTCTAGTTCTTTTAATTTTAATCATAGAAATTATATTTTTGAGGTTATTGAACTCTCCTTCCACGGAGGCGCTGGATGCTGGAACTCGGCCGAATCCGAATTTATCCCGGTAGACGCATGTCCACATAGGTAAATGTCGAATGTCAGATATCAGATGTCTGGCAAATCTAAGGCAGTAGTAGGCATTTGCATCATTGCTAGTTTATTCGAGTAGTATCTCTGGTAACAGATTCTCCGCCCACGTTGCCCAGAGACTCTTTCCGATGCCATCTCCACTATCTTCATTTGATGGAACTCTGCGGGAATCCTCTTCATCCGAGATGTCTCCAGAACAGTTGTCACTTTCGGCTTCTTCAAGCATATCATCGAACAGAGGCTGTCCAGTAATTAACTTCTGCAGTTTCGATTTGTTGATACTGCATATTGTTTCCTCACCATTGGAATTTTTTCCTGCAGTTTCGCTGTGCGCCACGATCAATACGGACTTTAAAATATCCCTCGCTGCAGTCAAATCGCGTGTCAATATCAATTCTCCTAGGACACCAAGATAGAACTTTTTTGTGAGGCGAGGCACACTTTTCAGAAGATTTTCGTAAGTTTTCATAAAATGGGCCACGTCTATACGGATGTAGCACGATGGTAGCCTGTCTGTTAAGAAAAAGTCGCAGTATTCTTCAATGGTTAAAAATTTGGTGAAGGTTCCTACTATCGCACTAAGAAGCGCTCTTGCTGAATAACAAACAGTTTCTCGGGGCGGGGGTGCTCCAGAACGCATCCACCGAATCAACCAATTGACAATAGTGCCAGTGTCGTGAGCCTGATACATAATTTGAGTAACAGCGGTTTGTTTGATGACGGCCAGATATAAAAAAATATGATGACTGAGAGTTCCATAAGATCGTTTCAATTTTGGGACAATCTTCCCTGATGCGTCAATGAACAAACTTGGGACATCAGAAGACGCGTAATTTGAGTAGATTATTGTTTGGTAATTAGTCCAATACAACACGTAGAATGGATCATATCCGATGTTTCTGATGACGATCCTTTCTTCCGCTTCACCAGTCCTTTTGAGTTTACCGATGGCGACAATAGGATCCTTATTCCACGACAGTGACTCCAGGTACTCATGTTTGGCAACATTTAAGACAGTGGCTCAAGATCTCTTGGTGACATTAACGTGTTCGCCTTGTCGATGCGATAACGCAGTGTTGATTGATAGACCAAACTTTTAGCTATCTCGTTACGGTACGGCTGTCGTAGCATGCGTTTACCGCAGACGCCTTTTTTCTGGTTCATTTCGCAATGAAAATCGACGCAGTTCTCGAGTACATCAATCTTGATTATCACTGTAGTAGCTTTTGCATTTTCCTAGAAAAATTTAATTCTTTTGTATTGAATTGGCCTCTACTCGGTGGAAATTCATAATCTTAGAAAAGATTTTTAAGTCCATTTTTCGCCGTTTAACAATTGATCGTGTGTTTAAGCCTTCAAGGGGCGCCTCAAAGTTACAAAACCACAGAAGCCAAATTGGGTAAGCGACAAACAACCTTTTTGCATGACCTCAATTCATTTCTTATTTTTTCGTGTAATAAGGACGCAATATTCGCTGTACAGTCCATTAATAATTTAACCGTATTGATTGCATCCTCATATTTATTTACTTTTATATTTCCATTAATTATTAGAAATATAAAAGTAAATATGTAAATATACCTAAAAATCTTTTCTAAAATTTAATTCGATAGATAAAGAAATTAAGTTCTTCAATCATGATTCAAAAAATATTCAGTATACATACAGGGCTTTCATTTCAAAACTTGCCACCCACGTTATCTGCGTAAAGAGGCATATTTCGTCCTCAATAACACGAACTGGCGTATCTCATTTTTTCCAATTTCTCAGGAGAGTGTTTTTAATATTTTCGCGAGATTCGAGCTGTTACTGACAAAAAAATATTACTGCTACAGAACTGAATTTATGCCTATATATTCTTTTATAGATAAGCTATTTAAACATGAGTAGTAAGTGACCCATTTTTTAGTTTACGTACGGGTCCTCAGGAGCTGTTTCCGATATCTTAACGTAACGTGTAATAAATTCCCGCTGGCGAATAAGGTTTCCCAGTTGCTTGAAAAATGTAAATATTTTCATCCTTTGCTCTTCATTGACTAATAAACACTGCCGACTCTGTTTCTTACAAAGTTCACTATTACATCTTTGTTTAAGTACTTTGGCGGGTACTAAAGATTTGGTTTTGGGGCTAACATATTCTTCTCCAAAATCTCTTAATCTCTTAGCTAATTTATGTTTATTTTTTTTTAATTTCTTAGTGACGCCCTCATGTTTACCTTCTCCTTCTTGAACGAAGTCCTCTGGCTTACCACACAGTATTGTTGAGCTATTTGGTTTTTTTTTTCAACATCGTTACGAAGATGCTTTCTCTTCTTGATATTTTTTGAATGGCTTTCGCAAGTACCCTCATATTCTTGAAAGTGGTCATAACACAATAACCTAAGGCAAATGTGACAAGCGGCAAATACCTCTATCCTGCAATGGGGTGCCTCACACGTCTGTTTGTATGTCGGGTCCTCAGGATCGGAGATGTCCCCTAAAAAATCGCTAAGGCTATCATCCTCGACCTCAATAGTTTCATAATTTTCAGGAAACTTATCTGGTATAGCTTGGACATCTTCTTCGAGGACTTGTTTATCAGTTTCAACAGCGCCTGAAATAGAAATACCTACTATAGGAGGGACCAACAGCCAGTCAAACACACAGACGAAACACTACTACTCGTCGTTAGCTACCAACATAAAATAACATCTTACCTTTTCTAAAATCTTCATCCAAGTTATTAGTGTGCACACGATCTTTTCCACTCAGCATTGCCAAAGTAAGATTATCAAAACATTCTAACTTCACTACCAATTTGAATTTTTTTGTTAGCGTCTGTGTTTTTAAGTTCACTGGAACACACCACATTTTTAGATCCATTTTTCCACAATACAAGTACATCCATTTTATAATTTTACCTTGCCGAAAACTATCACCAATAAATCTTCACAAAATCAGAATAGTAGATTCGCTATAATTAACAGATCATCTTCCTGAGCCACAAGACAAACTATTCCGCTATTTGAATAGACTCATAAACAGAAAACAGATTGAAACGAAGTAAAAGATTCAAGTCCTAACAAGTCGAAAAGTAGATAAGACATATCTACAGTGCCTAAACTAATGTGAAGTTGTACAATTTTACGAACTGGCGTAACTTAGATAAGATATAAGCTGTAAAATTATATGTCCGTTTCACAATTTCACAAAGTGGCTTAACTTGAGTTAAGCTACTTCATGAAATTCTATTTCTAAGGGAAATGAGATAAGTCAACTATTATTTTTTTATAACTCTTAAGCTTTTGGGAACTGACTTACACCGCTTCATGATATTGTGGAGCAACCTTCTTTTAGTAGTAAAATCGACTAAACTCATTTTTCGTATTTCCTGAGATACGCCACTTCGTGTTATTGACGACGATTTGTGGAAATCGCCGAAACACGTCAACAAATTTATTGGGGGAGAAGGTTTTTAACGTTAAATCGGAAGATATGCTGATTTTTTTTTCTAATTCTAGAACATTCTGGAACATTCTAGAACTTTGTTTGAGCTTGAGAATAGCTAGTAGAGTTGAACTTTTTAGCTCATGTTAGGAAAAATGCTGCTCACTGAGTGAAAAAAGAGGGGTGTTGATCTTGCCAGAGGCAGTGGATCCTGGATGGAGAAACAAGTGGAGAAATCTAAAGGGGAAAAAACCTTAGGCATTTTTCCATGACAAGTCTCATTGTGCTTGTAGTATTTTGGATCTCTCCGTGACACGCACTCCGCAGTCGATAGACTAACTAACTAACTATCGACGTACCAAGTGGTTGTCCGGGTAGACCATCCCGCGTCACCCTCAGTGCTGTACACTACATCTCTTCCTTTCTTATGAGAAATTAAACACAACTTAATAAAGAAATGTGCATAAATATTTTTTATTACAAAACTTCATATATATATATATATATATATATATATATATATATATATATATATATATATATATATATATATATATATATATATATATATAAATTGAAGAGCAGAAAACTGTTTTACATAATAAGTGAGAACTCAGTCTATTAAACATAAACAAGGGTTAAGTCCCTAGTAGCTAGCAGTCATTAGCTGCTATTTTCCATTCATTCCCGACTCGTTTCATGTGGAGCACATTTCGCCTTACCTCTTCACCGGTTACATCATTTGTTGCTGTTACGTCGCCACCATTTCTCGAAATAACTGTATGTGGTGTGGCATCAAAGGTCGAGTCTATTTTGTTTTCCTTTCTCATTCGTTTTAGGATAACTGTATCTCCTTCTGTGATTTCACTATCTCTGGCTTGTCTTCGTTTGTCTGTATACTCTTTTCCTTTTTGTTTCTCCAGCCTATCTTTATCTTGTATCTCTTCTTCTATACTACACTCAGTGATCATCGGGAGTTTATCTTTCAATTTGCGTCCAAAAAACAATTCTGCTGGAGTTTTTCCTGTACTAGGATGGGGTGTATTATGATACATCAACAAATAATCTTGTAGATCCAGCTGCCAATCCTTTCCAAGTGCTTTACTAATTTTCAGGCGCTTCACGGGACTTCTGTTCTGACGCTCAACTTCCCCATTTTGTTGCGGCCAATATGGAATAGTACTGAATAATTTGATATTATTGTCTTTACAAAATTCTGTACTTCTTCCAAATTGCGGTCCATTGTCTGCAGTAATTGAGTATGGATATCCGAGTCTAGTGCAAATCTTACGAATAATTGAAATGGTCCTGTTTGTCGTCACAGTTTTTGTCATTTCAATTTCCATATATCGGCTAAAATAGTCGACCATCACTAAAATGTAGTGTCCCCCAGG